CAGATTTTTGAAAGTACTCGAATGCTTCGCATCCAATTCCTTTATAATAATATTGGCCAACCTTGAATATTCCATCTACATTGTCCATGCCCACAGATTCCAGGTAGCATTCGAACTCCTTGCATTCATCCGATTCACAATGACAATAAAAAAAGATAAAATTAAGAATAATAACGTATCAGAAAATAGAAGATTATCTGATGATCAAGTTCCAACAAGAATGCAAAAGCAATAGTTCACATAAATTTTAACTATTTTGATTCATTATTAATGGTCGTTCACTCATATCACTAATTAAAACTACCGTGATATTTTTTTAATGTAATCATTAAAAAAAACACTTAATTTTCAAATAAAATTCTTACCGGTATGCATTCAAATAAAGCACTAACATAAATCAGAATGATAAAGGAATTTAGTCATTTAAAAAGGTCATAGATTGTAGAGAATCTTAAAAACTCTCTTTTTTTTAGCTGCACGAAAAAGACCTGAATTTAATAATAAATAATAAAGATTTTATCTTAATTTTGCGCAAATAGAAATTGTCGTGATACAGAGTATTTCAAATAATAACGGTAATAATAATGGTAAATCCATTCGCAAAAAGCAATATTAAATTCATTTATCGTTTTAATACGGGCATTCGAAAATATACGTATAACAGTACAGTTTGTGTGACATATCCTCTGACCGGTAAGTAGATCCAACCAAAAAAGAATAAACATTGCAAGTGTTTTGAAAATCATCAAGAAAAACAAGATTTTTATAATATACAGCTTAACGATTATCAGTAATATTTATTTAAAAAAAGAAGTTCTTACTATTACTGTATTACCGTTACCTGTCCAGATTAAGAATTCGTGCATAGTTACATTAGCCAATCAGACCTAATAAAGTTAATGATCTACAATAATTAGCCAATCGAAACCATGCTAAATTGATTCAGATTGATTAAAAATTCTTAATTTAATTGGTCAATTTAATTGGTCAGCTTAATTGATTATAGATTATCTCGTTGGTTTACACTTGTGTATCAAAGATTGTATCAAAGATTGTATCAAAGATTATATTATTGTGCCAATCAGATGATGAAATGATTAATAAAGATAATTTTTTCCTTCAAAGTATTTACCTACGTTCACAATGTTGTTAAATCCCCGTCTCTTTTCCACTTCGAACTTTAAATTTATAATCAATCGAACGTCATCAAGCATTAGTCCAATCAATAAATGGATTTCGCCGATTTCATATTTTAATTATCTCGGATCAAACTCTTATTCAACGTCGTTGAAAATTGAACCAGCACCACCAGGAATTCATTATATAACTCATGCCGATTTAACATCTCAACAAATTTACAATTTATTAACATTAGCAATTCAGCATAAATATAATGTGAAATATCTGAATAAAAAATCGGATCAACCTTTGAGTGGCAAAACTTTGGCAATAATGTTTTCAAAAAGATCTACAAGAACAAGAGTTGCCACCGAAACTGCGGTAGCTTATCTTGGTATGTATTTAATTTTTTTAATTTACTGCTAGTGTCATCATACGACGGGCTACATCAGAAAATTTGAAGCCTGATTATGATCGGTTGCAAACAATTAATTGATTTCAAGCGACTATAATTGACGGTGGTGTTGATAATCGATTCATATCAAAATTGATAATAACGATAATCGATATAAATCTATATATATCAATTGATTATAATCGATAGCTTTCTATATATATCGATTATAATCGATGAAAATCCAATCGATTTTAATCGACGGTGGTAGGGTTGTTAATGGAGTACTCCAGACTATAATAAAATATATAACCCGTTTCTGGAGTGCTCCGGATAGGTCATATGTTTTATTATTAACTGGAGCACTCCATTAACAACCCTAGACGGTGGTGATGAGAATCGTTGAAAATCCTTAGATTTTAATCGATAATCTAATTTTAAAATTTCCTGATGTATATATCACAATAAAAATCTGAAGTCTCATTTTTCCTGGGCCACATATAAAAAGAGGTATTCTAAAGATCAGTATGGTATGACTGATCAGATCAGTATGGTATGGATGTGATTTTATCAATCTTTACTATACTGTTTGCTAAATTGTCACGCCCCTAGAATTTAGTGTTAGCTCTGCCCGGAATTATGTTTAATGCCGGCCAGGTTTTTACAGGGTTTGATAATTAAGCAAATAGTATAGTATTTTTTTTAAATCACATACTAATCCGGTCAGTTGTACTATACTCCTGTAATAAAAAGTGTATTACCACTGTATGCACGAATATTACACGAATGTGCAATTTCTGATTAACGTGCAGAAGTCCAAAGATATAGATATATAGTAATAGATATTACTAAACTTACGGTTCGGTTAAGGTGGAGCGAGGCAACTTATGCAGTATGTAGATCATATATTGAATTCGCCCGCTTTAGCCGACCCCTAAACTTAGTCAGGCTTAGATTGATTACGTGATTTAATTCTGGTTAAATTATTTTTAATGCGTAGGTGGTCAGCCAATGTTCTTGGGATCCCAAGATATTCAACTAGGTGTAAATGAATCATTGCTGGATACTAGCAAAGTTGTGTCTAGCATGGTAAACGGAATAATGGCGCGTGTTGGTTCCCACTCTGATATTGAGGTAAAGATTATTGGTATTCGTATGTATCATGCCTCATAGTTTATTAATTCATATAAATTAGACATTAGCAAAATATTCTACTGTTCCCGTGATAAACGCATTATCAGACAAGTATCATCCAACACAAATTCTTGCGGATCTAATGACAATGCACGAAGTATTTGGACCTCAACCCAAAGATGAGTCATCGTATGTTGCACATTTGACACATCCTAAAAAAACACTCCCAGGATTGAAAGTTGCATGGATCGGGGATGGTAATAATATATTGCATAGTATGCTGGTTACATTCCCGAAATTAGGTGTGCATCTATCAGTAGCTACACCTAAGGGATACAATCCAGCAGAGGAAGTTGTAAAAATCGCACAAGATGAGGCAGTTAAAACTAATACTAAAATTAGTTTTACGCATGATCCTAAGGAGGCTGTAAAGGATGCTGATGCCATTGTTACTGATACTTGGTATGCTTAAATATTATTTTTATTTTTGATGATTGAGTTGTAACCTATTAATATGATATTATCATTGCGATAAAATAGGGTTAGTATGGGCCAAGAAACTGAAAAAGCGAAACGACTTAAAGACTTTGCAGGATATCAAGTAACGTCATCATTAGCAAAAGATGGTGGTGCTAAATCTCATTGGAAATTTTTACACTGTCTTCCAAGAAAGCAGGAAGAAGTTACAGATGAGGTGATTGCTTCTTTACTAACGGATGCCTGATTTTTATATTTTCCCTCCTTTTATTAATTTATAATATAACAAACAATATTACAGGTATTCTACTCACCAAGATCCGTTGTATTTCAGGAAGCTGAAAATCGTAAATGGACAATTCTCGCTGTGTTAGATGCTTTACTTGTAAAAAAAAGTTTTGATTAGTTGAGATTTCCTTGGAACTTTTTTTTTTTCCTTTTTCGCAAGGGACGCACTTTAATCAATTATTATATTACATATTACCACATGGCGTTATTTCTATATAATATACAAAAATGCAATAAATGAGATTATCTATTTATATTGTCCACTGTTAATCCTTTTAGGAGCGCCCCTTTGACTTTGTTCTTATTTTCCGCTATCTTTTCAAGAATTTTTTATCACAAATGAGAGTATTTGATCCGGGATACATTCACCCCATTTTACTTGCGTGAAGTAACACCAAATTTCATATATTGTTATTACGTTGGGGGTTGTCGATATACTACTTTACAAAAATCTGATAATTTCGAGTTATGCAATTATTTGCAAATAATAAGCAATATATAGTGCATTATTAAACTAAGTTAGCAATTTTAATAATTTATTACAAGATTATTTCATTATCAGCACCTTTAAATACCTAATAAATTAGTTA